CCCGGCCCGGCGGGCGGGGCCCCTCGCGCCGCGCTCTTCTCGTCCCCCGTCCCCGCCCCCACCGCGCTGGAAACTGCGGGCCGAGGCGCATCCGAGCGCGGCCTCCGAAAAAGAAACCAAAATTAACAGCTGTGCGGTCTGTTGAGCCCTCGCCGCCCGCCCTCCGAGTTGTACGCAGAACGAGTTATTTCAAGACTTGATTTTTAAATAGCGTGATTAAAAATAGCACAGTGTGTGCCTACAGATGTTCCAGGTGGAGAAACAGAAGTCCTCTGGGGGTCTCCGTTAGAGCGGGGAGGGCGTAAAGAAGAGCGGTACTGTTCGCTTTACCCTTTAGGATGTTTGGGTTCTTTGTGTGTATCATGTACGCATTCACTCGCATTAAAAATATTTATTTATGTGTTAGCCACTCAGTACTGGAAGACTCGCCTACTTCCCCCTTTGGGCACGCAGGCGTGGCCGTCTCAAAAAACGAACGAGGACATAACTGAGTTGACTCAACACGAAAAGCACAAGCATTGCAAAGAACGGGTTCTCCTTTGGCCACGAAGAGGTTAGTTTCTTGTCAACAAGGACCCGTTTTATAAAGTGCTACCTGTCCCTTCTCCCACTCCCTAGCCTACTAGAAAGGACTCTTACTTAGACATACTGGTCACTCAAGTGATTTAATTTAATTGCTAACATTATTTTCGGGGATTTGGTTCGGCTTGGGAAAAAACCTCATCTTTATCAGATCAAATATAGTGAGGTTTCTGATGAGATCGTGTGCTTGACACAGGATAGAAGAAAATCTCAAGAGATGGAGAAAATACAAACATAAAAAGATAAATTCCACAAATTGGAATTAACGCCAAGTAAGAAACAGGTGTGTGCTCTGAGAGTTGAAAGACAGGATTGCTCAGTGAGCACTGCGGCAGTTCACAAAGGCCCTGGAGACAATCAGACATATTTTGTGCCTTGAAAGATGATAAGACTTAAAACAAGAATACTCCAGGCACAAGAAAAATATCAAAAAAGTCCAGAAGTGAAAATGTAAAGGGCTATTTGAGAAACAATAAATAAATCAGTTTGACTTGCATAAAAGCCAAGAGAAAACGTGTTCAGAACTTGGAGGCTCCTTAAAATGAGAAGCCAAGGAATTTGAGCTTTGGACAGGGTAGGCAGTGGACAGATGGGAGGATGTGCCGGTGAATTGCTTCACATTGTGTTTTTACAGGAGCACCACCATGAGCAGATTCAAGCTCTGAACAGTCTGGGCAGCCTCCTCTGGACCAACTATCCCCCTTCCCATTGGCCTTATGTTTTGAAAAAATTCTCTTGGCAGTATTAGGAGTGCAGAAACAAAGGGCAGAACTGATAGGATTCATCCTTCTCTAATGGAACCAGCCAAGAAGGAAGAGCTGAGAGGATTTGGAGTGTTGGGGAGAGAGATGGATGAGGCAGGTATTCTGTCTTTCAGGAAGTTGGTTTGTATTGAAAACTTACTCTGTGTACCAGGCACTGCCTGAGACCCCCAGTGGTGAACAAGGCAGTCAGTACTCCCTGCTGTCACAGAACCTAGCAGGATGACTGAATTTCCACCGAAAGAGAGTGATGATACTGCTGACAGAAAGTTTGGAGGAAATGAAAAGTTGGGTGGTGGTTGAACTTTGAATGATGCAACACAGAACCGAGTTCAGTGGTAGGAAATGTGAAACCGAGGCTCAGGCGGGAGACAGAGCTTGTGAGGTGATATTGGCTCAATGCTTAAGAGCTGAGGAGTTCCTGAAAGGAGAGGAGACTGGACTGGGATAAGGCAGCAGGGATGGAAACCGCAAAGAATGAGGAATGTCCAGAAGGCCAAGCAGCACAGGGCCATATAATGGTGTCTCGAAAACCAGAGGACTCAGGTAAGGATACTGAATCCTGCAGAAGTCAGCGAATGAGGAACAAGAAAACACACTGGATCTGCTCACTCTAAAAACAGTTCCTGCTGTTTGTGACTTTACCATGAAGAAAAAAAGCAGATCAGCTGCTGTTGTTTTCCTGTGTCACCCTGCCCTTGTGCCTTGGCGAGGCTTCCCTGGGGGCAAACTTCTGCTTAATTTGTAGCAGTATTGTGGGGGCTTTTTTGCTTTTTGTGTTTTTTTTTTGTGAAGAAGACTTGCTCTGAGTGAACATCTGTTGCCAATCCTCCTCTTTTTGCTGAGGAAGATTGTCCCTGGGCTAACATCTGCACCCATCTTCCTCTACTTGACATGGAACGCGCCACAGCATGGCCTGACAAGTGGTGCGTCAGCCCGTGCTCGGGATCCGAACCTGCAAACCCCGGGCTGCCAAAGCGGAGCTCGAGAACTTAACCGCTACGCCACCGGGATGGCCCCGTGTAGCAGTATTATTTTTGACATTCTCCTTTCCAAGAGATGGAGATACCTTGAGCATCTTTGTATTCCTTGGGACCTAAACTCTGTAAACACATCCACAATAGACTTTGTGTGTGTGTGTGTGTGAGGAAGATTAGCCCTGAGCTAACATCTGATGCCAATCCTCCTCTTTTTGCTGAGGAATATTGGCCCTGGGCTAACATCCATGCCCATCCTCCTCTACTTTATATGGCACGCCACCACAGCATGGCTTGATGAGCGATGCGTCAGTGTGAGCCCGGGATCCAGACCTGTAAACCCCGGGCCGCCACAGCAGAGCTCGCGCACTTAATCGCTGCACCACCACGCCAGCCCCACAATAGACTTTTATCCTGGTCCAATGGCCACTTCATACTTGCATTTATTAATGACAACTAACTAATGTTTGAAGAGTGGTGAAAAGTAAACAAGATTTATCTCAGAAACAGTGTTTAGAATGCTGAAAGTTTCACAATATTTATGAGACCGTCTAAAATTACAGAAGCAGTTCAAATTCCATCTATCTTTCCAAACGTCTGGAGATGAATAGCGTTATTTAAAAAGCAAAATCCCAACAAACCGTGATACAAGCTTTTTGTTTCTATTTTGAGAATTTACTAATTTTTTGTCTATTTTGACTTTTTTTTTTTTTTTTTTGCTGAGGAAGACTGGCCCTGGGCTAACATCCATGCCCATCTTCCTCCACTTTATATGGGACGCCGCCACAGCATGGCCTGACAAGCGGTGCGTCGGTGCGCGCCCGGGATCCAAACCCGGGCCGCCAGCAGCAGAGTTAACTGCTCAACTGTGTTTCTCTGCTCCAGGTCTCACAAAGCCAAACTCAAGATGGGACACCTTGGGCTCTTATCTGGAGGCTCTAGGAAAGAACCTGCTTTCTAGGTCGTTGAGATGTTGTCCAAATTCAGTCCCTACTGATTATAGAACTGTGCCCCCTTTTCCTTGCTGAATCTCAGCGGGAGCTGTTCTCAGCTCCCCAAGGCTGCCTGCATTCCTTGGCACACGGCCCTTTCATCTTCCAGCCGGCAACAGTGTGTTGAGTCTCCCTTATACTTCGAATCTCTGACTTACTCCTGCGCTACCAGCCAGAGAAAACTCTGAGTTTAAAGACTCTTGTGATTAAGATTGGCCAACCCAGACAGTCTCCCTTTTGCCATGTAATGGAACATAATCATGGGCATAATATCTCTTCATATCCACAGGCTCTACACACATTCCAAGGGGAAAGGACTATACAAGGGCAAGGTCATTGAGGGTCATTTTTGGAACTCTGCATACCACAAGTAAGAGCGGGGAAGGGGGAGTAGGATGTGGCAAGCAGATCCAGGCCCCACATCCCACATCCACATCCCCAGTGCCAGGTCTCCAGAGCCCCAAGTTCATCCTGCTCTGTGGATGAGGGAGGAAAGCTTTGAATCAAATATGAATTCAAGTTTCAAAATGAAGGAGTCAGTCTTAATAATTGAAATGAAACTTGCAAAACACTTAAAGAACTGAAAAATGATGGATTTGGATTGAGGTGTCATTGAGGGAGACTGCTTCCCAGTGAAAAAGGGGATTATGTGGTGCATTCAACAAAGCACACGTGATTACAGTAAAACCCCAGTAAGAAACTCCTTATACTGATATTTTTAATTAGGAGTTTTTGGTCTAGGTTTTTGAGATGGGTTTATATTGTTCTTTCCTTATAGACTCTTGTCTAGTTTTGAAATCATAGTTTTAATGGTCTTACGAGTAGTTTTTTCTGTTCTCTGAAACAGTTCATAGAAAACTGGAATTACCTGTTCATTAAGGGCTTGATAAAACTGGTCTATGAAACAACCCAGGCTGGGAGATGTCTTTTGTTGTTGGAGAC